GAGCTCCACTCTCTTCCCCTCACTTGTTTTGAGCACTCTGATGCTCCCAGATTTGAGCTGGCCAATCACCAAAGGAAGCAGTAATGGAAACAGACAACCACCAAACCAATGGAGGGTGTTATAACTGCTCACAGGCACTATACTGGGTTGTATTTTGTCCCCCAACTAAACTCATGTCTATCCAGAGCTGTGAATGTGACCTTATTTGGAAACAGAGTCTTTAGAAATATAATCAAATTAAGGTGAGGTCATATTGGATTAGGACGGGCCGTAATCCAATGCCTGGGATCCTAAAGAGAGGGAAGTGGGGACAGAGACACACCCACAACAGAGAAGATGGCCACTGAGACAGGCAGGATTAGAGTCACACTGCTGAAAACCAAGGAATATAAAGAATTTCCAACAACCACCAGAAGCTAGAAGAGGTAGGGAAGGATTTTTCACTAGAGGGAAGCACGGAGTGTGACCCTACCAGTATCTTGATTTTGGGCTCCTGGACTCTAGAACTGGGAGAGAATATATTTCTGTTGGTTTAAGCCATCCAGTTTGCAGTAATTTTTTATGCTAGCCTAAGGAAACAAATATAGGCACCAAGTTCATCATGAAATATTCCTGCAGGAAACATTTTCTAAAATTTAGGATAGGGGTTAGGCTGCAAAGCACTGTATCTTTTAATTTGTGATTTTTTAAAAATATTTTTTTGTCTGTGTTGGATTGTGGTACACGAACTCAGTAGTTGTGGCACATGAGTTTAGTTACCCTGCAGCATGAGGGATCTTAGTTCCCTGACCTGGGATTGAACCCACGTCCCCTGCATTGGAAGGCAGTTTCTTAACCACTGGACCACTGGGGAAATACCTAATTTGTGATTTTTTTCTTAATATTTATTTGGCTGTGCTGGGTCTCAGTTGTGGCATGTGGGATCTAGTTCCCTGACTAGGGATGAAGCTGGGCCCTCTGCATTGGGAGTGGAGTGTCCTAGCCATTGGCCCACCAGGGAAGTCCCCTAATTTGTGATTTAAAATAAAATTTTATGGCTGCACCATGTGGCTTATAGGATCTTAGTTCCCTGATTGAACCCAGGGTCCTGACAGTGGAGGCATGGTGTCCCAAACAATGAACCACCAGGGAATTTCTGGCACTTTGGATTGTACCAAAAATCTAGTGTTTGTCTTTGAACCAACTTTCTTCTCTTATTTTAGAAACAGATGCTTCAGACCTTTCATGACACATTCCTCCTCCTGTCGTAAATGTCGCAGCATCCACTGGAACTCCAAAAAGTTCAAACTTTCTGGATGCTCCATTTTGAATGATCATTCCATTCTAACGGCTTCTGCCTACCTTTCTTTCTGTAAAAAAAAATTTGTTTTGATTGGGTCATTGTCTAGATTTTCCCTTTACCTTTTTGCACTTCTCCTTTTCAGCCATGTTTCCATGCCCATCCCACCCCACATACTGCTCTCAGTTTCCTAAAGGTAAGGTGAGGCAACATAGATGTTGCCCAGGTTATATCTGGCCTGGGATAGAGCATACACATACACAGGTGGTGACAGTTAGGTGGCAGACTGTGGACTTTCAGAAGGGCAGGCAGGAAGTATTATCCTCCAGGTAACTCGTCTTCGTAGTATCTCATTCCTGCACTTTAGACATGCTCTTCTAGACTGAACCTATCTCAGCATTTTAAGAAATAATTTTATTTATTTTTGGCTGTACCAAGCCTTTGCTGCTATGCGGGCTTCTCTCTAATAATGGGGAGCAGGGGCTACTCTCTAGTTGCTGTTCTGGGGCTTCTCACTCTGACTTACGTTGCAGAACGCTGACTCCAGGTGCACGGCCTTCAGTTGTGGCATGTGGGCTCTAGGGCACAGGCTCAATAGTCGTGGTGCACAGGCTTAGATGCTCCGTGGCATGTATGATCTTCCCGTATCAGAGATTGAACCTGTGTCTCCTGCATTGGCAAGTGAATTCTCTACCACTGAGCCACCAGGAAAGCCTGCATTTTTGCCTTTTAAACTAATTTTTTTTTTTTTTTTACTCCAAATAGTCTGTAAGCAGTGGAATATATTGAAGATGGGCTTCCGAATCCTCCACCTCTAGATATACACATATATTTTAAGTGAGAGACTGCCTTTCCTCTTGAGCTGTCTTTCTGAATAGGTTGAACTGCTTCCCCTCTGGCCTCATACAAAGCAGAGAGGGGTCAGGGCTAATACCTGGGCATGACTACAAATAGTTTTTCTGACTCTCTTTTGCTGCCTTTTGTTTCTTTATTTCCCTGCAGTGCTCCCATTAGAGGGTGTTGGTGGTGCTAGAATCTGCCTGCCAATGCAGGGGACGCAAGAGACACAGGTTCAATCCCTGGGTCTGGAAGATCACCTGAAGTAGGAAATGGCACCCCACTCCAGTATTCCATGGACAGAGGAGCCTGGGAGACCACAGTTTATGGGGTTGCAAATGGTTGGACATGTCTGAGTACATTGTTTCTTAGAAATACTTATTAACTCTTGGTCAGAGACTTCAATTTCCCAATTTTTACTTGATTTCTCCAATTAGGTTTTTAAGTTACAGGTTATCTTTAAGTAACTATTCTTAGTATAGTTTAGAGTTCAGAAGATCATTAGGGAGACCTAAGCCCAAAAAGTAGGCGAGAGAAATTTAAAAATATGTTCTCATTCTCCTTTGGTGAGGCTGGCAGAATTAATTACAATGAATGGAAATAGTATGATTTTTTTCCCCTCACTTCTCCTTTCTCCTCATTTGTTTAGGACTACAGGCTCCATTCTGATTTAGGAGTCAGAATGAAATTCCTGCTCAGTATTTCAGTGATAATTCTCCCCATGGTCTATAGGATCCCTGTTCTCTTTGTTTCTATAGCAACAGTCCTGTGTTGCTTGGTTAGAAGCAATTTTCTACTGCTGTGGTGAAGCCCCATTTTTTCGTTCCTTGCTCCCCTGTTGCCTCGGTAACCAGCCTCTCCCTCTTCTGGTCTCTCAGTAGTAAATTCCACTCCCCCCTTCTTCCTCCCTCTCTCTCTCTTTCTCTCACAACAGTCACCTGGTCATGACTCAGACAGTGCTTTCCCATCTGTAAGTGGGCCTCCCCTGTCATGATCAGATTGTCATCATGATATTAGCCTCCCTTTTGCTTTATTTGCATCATTTCTCTGGGCTTCCTTCTTTCTGGTGGTTGTCAAGGTAACTGTACCCTCGGAAAATCTCCAGGCAAAGACTCTACAGTTAACAACCATCATGTGAGAGTGTCTGCCAATATGTGGCCACACATCTCGATTTTAAAACAAGCCCCAGGCGGGTACCACAAATTGGAGAGAACAAGGCTTTTGATCAAAGCAGGCTGGATTGAGAAAAGGAGGTACAGGGGACCCTGCGACATGTGACTACAAGTCTGAGGGTGGGTTTGCAAGAATAGTCATTATGCCAGTAGTGATCCAAGTGATTGAGTAATATATTTATTGGCAGTCATTCTAGACAGGTCTATCATACGCTGTAACCATCCGGGGGTGAGTCCTCTGGCCCAAGGGTGACACGACCTGAGAGCTAGGCAGAGCCAAGTAGTAATCTCAGGGAGAAAGCAATTAGAACTCTTGAACTTGTTAACAAGGGGTGAGTAGAATAGGTATTTAGGCACTTTCACACATTACTGGAAATTTCTCTACCCTTAGGCTGCTGTTCTTACCTCTTTAGTGAGGCAGATGGGGTGTTACTACTATAATAACACAAAGTGTTCAACAAATGGTGGTTATTATATGCCAGGGCATTGTAGCAGGCACTTTTCAGACATTACTTCATTTTCTCCTTATGGCAATCCTGAGAGGTATTTAATGATGAGAAAACGAACACTAAGCTAATTGTGTGAAGTCACTCAGCTGATAAGTGGCAGAGCTGGAATTCAAATCCATGTTCATCTGACCAGGTGCCCAGGATCCAGATTCCTGGACCAGGGATCCAACCCCTGCCTCCTGCAGTGGAAGTGTGGAATCTTAACGCCTGAACCACCAGGGAATCCCCCCAAAGCCCTTTCTTAAAGGTTGTGGAGGCGCCAGAATTTTGGTTCCCTCTGGACTTGATTTTTCCCCATCCCTACTGTAATCTGAGGGTTGTTACTATATCCTTTCTGCCTTCCTTATTTTCCCTCTGTATGTTGTAGGTTGTTTACTTGCTTGGTTTTCTCTCTGTTCTCACCCCATCTCTTGCATCCTTTCACCAAAGAGATGAAAAATTTTGTTTTGCCTTCTGATTGTGTCTGAGTCTGAGTTGTTGGATGAAAACATAACAGCAGCCCTCTTTTCCTGAGAACCGGGAAGATCTGATCCTAGAGAAGGTCACACCTCTGAGCTCACTGGCTTGTAGCACTAGGTAGGCAAGCCATTCTCTCTGTTAACATATCATTATTGGGTGTCTTTTCGGTATCACGTACTATACTGGATCCCTGGGTAGGGAAGATCCCTTGGAGGATGGCATGACAACCCACTCCAGCATTCTTGCCTAGAGAATCCCATGGACAGAGGAGCCCGGCAGGCTGCAGTTCTTAGGGTTGCAGAGTCGGACACTTCTGAATCGACTTAGCACGCACACAGGCATCCACTGTACTGGAGATACAGTAATGTCCCAGGCAGAATCTGTTCCTTGCCTTTACAGAATTAACAGTCTGGAGAGAAAGTCGAACAGTAGAGGTCAAAACATAATTTCATACTATAATTAGGGCTATGGACAAAAAGAAGTGGGAGCTAGTTAAAAAAAGAATAATAGGTATAAATCTATTTTAGATACGACTGATATGTTCCCATTTAAGAGAGGAGGTAGTTGAGGTTTTCACACTAGCTAGTTGATGGCAGTCACAGCAGGAGCTTCTGAGCTTGGGGACCTAAGTCCCTTGTCTCCTCCTTCCCTCCGCCCTTTCCCTCCAGAGCCCTAGGTCCGCGCAGGCGCACTGACGGTTGCCATGGGGACAGCTGATCCGGCGCAAGCGCAGACGTCTCCAAGATGGCGGCAGCGGCGGCTGCAAGAGTTGTGTCTGTGGGCCCTGGTCTCCGGGGCATGCAGCGGACACTACCTCTCGTAGTGATTCTCGGGGCCACGGGCACCGGTAAATCCACCCTGGCCTTACAACTCGGCCAGCGGCTCGGTGGCGAGATCGTCAGCGCTGACTCTATGCAGGTATGACAGTGCGGCTGTCCCCGGCCTGGGGAACCGGAGGCCGCGTGCGGGCCTTTGGCCGAGTAGATATCCTGTCGCTTGGTGGAAGTGGGTGAACTCCGAAGCTTGTGGGGCGGAGGGGGCAGAGGAAGGGCACCCATAATTAGTAGGCGCCCACCATACGCCAGACATCGTGCTAACATCTCATTTACTACTCACGACTTTACTGTCTGGTGTGGGTTTCTTATTTTCTTTTTACGGATGAGGGAGTTCACCTCGGGAGGCGAAACGACCACCGCCGTGTCACAAAGCGAGTATGTGGAGGCGATGGTGTTTGAACCTACAAGGTTGACATATAGGCGTCCAATACACACTTCTTGATTGAAAATTATTCCAGAGCTTTTGCAGTTTAGAATATCCAGCGAAAACAGGATAAATCATTTACCATCTGTGATTGTCTGCTGAGGGAATGGATCACCGTGGATAGTCTTGAGACCTGGATTCTCCTCCCTAATCTGCCATCGGCCACGTGACCTAAATAAGGTCGTGATTTGTGCTTGGATTCAGGGTGGGTGACATTTGGGGCAAATCTCTGATGGAGGAATTACGAGTTAAGAGCTTTTACAAAGTAAATGAGATACTTGGTGTGAAATGCCTGCTGCTGAACCTCAGCAAGGAGGGGCAGTCCTTCTCCCCATTGTACCCCATAAACCTCTGGGGCATGGTCTCCACTCTTATTAGTTCATTTGGGGTGACACGACCATCAGCACATATCAGATGATTGGGGTAATTCAACAAATATTTGTTTGCAGCCTCTAATTTGTGTTGCCTTTGAGAGACAGACTTTAGCTCTAATCCCAGCCTTGCCTTTTCTAAGATATGCAACCTCAGCTTGACCTCTCCATGTCTTTGTTTCTTTTGTAAAATAGGAAGAATAAAATTAGTAATACAATATTATTGTGATGGTTAAACAGATTAAATATGTAAAACACTTAATATAATATGAGGCAGGTAGTAAGTACTAAAAATATGGTAGGTGCTGTTTTCTGCAAGGCCCTTTTGGGGAGACAAAACTGCAGTCCTTGTTCTCACGGAGTTTAGTCCAGCTAAATATGAAACAAAGGAAATTAATACATGTTTGAACTGAGATTTTCATGATGATTTGCAAGGTACAGGAGTGGGAGGTGGAGAGGAGAGAGACTACAAATTTTAGATCTTGCCTCCATGGGGAAAGTCTAGCAGGTGTGTGGAGAATGCAGCAGGTATGATCCATGTTAGGAATCTTACACTCAGAGGTTTTCTCTGCCTGGTGAACCTTTTCCCCTCCCTAAGTGTGCATCTTTTACTTTCTTTGTTTAGGTGTTTACTTAGATGTCACGTTATTGAAGCCTTCTCTGACCATCTTACTTATTTTGTTGTTGTTGTTGTTTTTTACCATCTTATTTAAAACAGCACACTGTTGCCCCCTGTTCCCCCTCTTCCTCATATACCACACTTATCAGGAAGCTGTTCTCAATAGAACATCTTAATTTTACGTCTGTTTTTAAGTAAATTGGCAGGTCCTGGCAATAAACGTTGGTAATTGCTCTGTAATAGTGTTATCCATTATTCAGAAATGTTTCTTTACTCATATCTGTGTACCACAAGGTTGAGCTTGCTAGAGGTCTTGCTCAAGGTAGAATAGTTAGACAGTTAGACACTTTGTGTCTTGTACAGTGCTGATGATATGGTAGATCTTTAACATTTGATGAAATATTTGTTGGCCTGTCTCATCAAAATCACACATCTTGATCCATTTAGATTCTTCCTGTGGTTGTAAGTAACTAGAATATGAGAATTAAATTTCTTTCATCCTTGGGATGCCATGAGGATTAATTATGGCATGAAAAACACTTTGAAGATAACTGAGTTTTCTGAACTGGCTATGAAAGAGTTGGTTGCTCAGTCATGATTCTTTGTGACACCATGAACTGTAGCCTGCCAGGCTCCTCTGTCCAGGAATTCTCCAGGCAAGAATGCTGGAGTGGGTAGCCATCCCCTTCTCTGGAGGATCTTCCTGACTCAGGATTGAACTCAGGTCTTCTGTACTGCAGGCAGATTCTTTACGGTCTGAGCCACCAGGGAAGGTTGTTTTTAATTTTGATTAAACCTGGGATATTCATAACATTTCCTCTCATACCTGTTGAAAAACTTTGACCTTTGATTTTTACTTTTTGGTTCAATTAATGAAATAAAGTATCTCTGCCCCTCTCACTGTGGGTATACACAGTTCTTTGTTTCTACCATTGCTTACTGTGCCCCTGATGGAGTAGTGCTACTCTGCTTGCTTCTTTTTTTTTTTCAGTTCTACCAGTTTATTGCTACCAACCCGTCTCCCTCCACCCTCGTGCACACATGCTCAGTCATGTAATCCCATGGACTTCAGCCCGCCAGACTCCTCTGTCCATGGATTTTTCCAGGCAAGAATACTGGAGTGGGTTACCATTTCCTTCTCCACTCTGCTTGCTTTTTAAGCAATGGAATGAGATGAAGCTTTTCAGTGACTTGAAGTTGACTCAGAAAATTTCTGTCAAACTTGTAAACAAGTGATACTCTTTTAAAAGTTAATTTATTTTTAGTTGTACTAGGTCTTCATTGCCTCCCAAAGCCTTTTCTCTAGGCGCGGGGAGAAGGGGCTACTCTTTGTTAGGGTGCACTGGCTTCTCATGGCCGTGGCTCTAGGCACGTAGGCTTCAGTAGTTGCAGCATGCAGTTTCAGTAGTTGTGGCTCACAGTCCCCAGAGCACACAGGCTAGAGGACTTGGTAGCTGCAGTTCTCGGCCTTAGTTGCCCTGGGGCATATGGAATCTTCCTGGGCCAGGGATTGAACCCTTGTTCCCTTCATTGGTGGCAGATTCTTATCCACTGTGCCACCAGAAAAGTCCCAGTGAGTGATATTCTTAATGTTGGAGGTAACCAGCTTCTTTTCTTTTTTTCATTTTATTTTTTATTAACCAGCTTCTTGAAAGAACAGTTTCAGTTAAATCCACAAGCAGAATCATAACTTAAATTTGTATAGCACTTTTTATAAAATGCTTCTATATGCTTTTTTTATCCTCACAATAACCTTGTAAGGTAGATACAATTATCACTTCACAGGTAATGACACACAGGTCTTACAGTAAGTAGCAGACCTGGAATTGGACATAGGTCTCTACTTTCCATGCTCAGTTCCTTATCTATACACAAAATTGTCATCCCTTTTAGATGAGGCGGGAGCTGTGGGAGTCAGTCATTAGAGAGTACTTCTTAACTTGTATGACACTCATCCTTCACAGGAGTATGTTACATTTTGGTCAAGATATAAAATGTATTTTAGGATTCATATTGTGACTTGTAGTGTGAATTCCTAGTGATATCTCAGGTTGAGTGTTGAACTAAGTGGTGGCCACATGATGCATTGCTTAGGGGGCTAAAACTTAACTGCAGCTGAGATATTATTTAATGTGAATAATTTGATGGTACCAAAGGCAGAGAATGTTTACTGGAACAGAGAAGAAACAAAGGCCTTGTAGAGCACCTAGAACGAGCAGTAAACTTACCTGTTATAACAGCCACACAGGCTAAAGGGTGACCAAGTGGGAAGTGCGATAATTAGAAAGTTTTTGCAAGTTTATAGATTGACCTTTCTAAGCCAGCATTTGAATTTTAATAGTCTCAGAAGTATACCAGTAACTCAGAAAGGATTGTAAAACACTGTCTTAAATCTTAAATTGTCTCGTACCTCATACTTCTTGTATCATCCTTTTGTCCTACCTTAATTGTTGGGTCATCCCAAGGCAATCCCAGCAGGGCAGTTCCCATCCAAGGAAAGTACTTGTTTTTGTAAACATTGAAGAAAGTGCTCTAAGTATTGAGGTAGCTTCTTTGAGATAAAACCACAGGGTGTTAAGGGTCGTGTGTCTAGGGTGATAATATTGTTACAGAATGTAGATAATGACCTGCTTTTATAGCCAGGTAACACCTGAGGTCCTGCCTTGCCTCTGGCCTCTCATTCTTGCATCACTGGTTTGTTGAGTAGGAGTCAGAACTAACTCTCTGAGGGATTACTTGCTTCGGGACTTCTGGGCTCAACTGTGGACTTGACATGGTAGGTCTGACAAAAGTGGGAAAACAACCTTTTTGCTTAATTTTCTGAGTTTTCCAGACTCCAGTTTCACAAATTGTAGAAGCATACATATTCTCAGCTAGCAGTAGGAGTCTAAATTCAAAGAAGGACAGGTAATACAATCCCTGTTTTCCAGGATGGAAAAAGGTGCAGAAAGATTAAAGAGCAGACTAGAGATCACACTACAGGACACTTGCACAATTGGGAATTGGATCTGGATCTTCTAACTCGTGTAGTGTCTGATATATTGCAGGAAGCTGATACTGAAGGTCTTCTTTTCAGTCTTTTTCTTGGTATGTAAATTTAAGGTACAATGCTTCACCTTCAGTGACTAGATGAAACATTGTACTGAGAAATTTGAAGGCACTTGTCAAAAGATGTACAGTGGCTGCCTGGAAATACAGACTGCCAACTATATGCCAAGAGAAAATAAACCAAGTGTTCTATTTGGGTTTATAGAGAGGAAGTATCTCTAATGCCTTATTAGTTCTTCAAGTTCTGTGGAGAAGCAGTAGTCATACATAGGAGCACAGTTCCCTTGTGTTTGCCTAAACCTCCAAGAGGAGAAGCAAGTTATTTTTGGCAGTCTGACTAGTAAGCAGGCTATGTGTCATCTAATAAATGTGGAGTTCTGCATTCTTTGTCTGCTTTGGAACATAATTTAGGAGCAGTGTTGTTTTTTTTCCTTAAACCAAAGGACTGCTTGTCTGATAGTGCTCAAGGGAGATCTGGCTTGCATGGGGGAGGGATATGAAAGAAGAGATGGGATAGTGGGTTACAGTGGCTTACTAGGACATGAAAATGAAAGTTACAAAAACCTGTTAACTGAGGGGAATGAGGGCTGTCCAGAGTCTACTTGCCACAACTGACAGAG